CGCTGCGCAGGGTGCTACCGCGGGGTTTGTGCCAGGCTGGGCAGTTTTGGGTTCGGTCTTGCAGGCTTGCTGCTCAGTCTTGCAAACTTGTCTGGGCGGCGGTGGTGGCAAGGCAAAGAAAGCAGCCACCTCGCCTCTGCGGGGCGGGCGGAAAGTTAGGTCTTCAGGCGCAGGCTCTGTGAGTTGCGGAGGACCTGCTTTGGGACACCCAGCAGGTGCTAGCGTGCGCGGCACAGCTTTTGGCGGCGCAGCTGGAACAGCCTTGGGCTCCGTTTGCTCAAACTTGCAGAGCTGCTGGTCAGGGTTCTTGGGTAAACTCGGGCTTGGGGTAGCTTCAGGCTCACTTGCCTTTGGCACAGTCCGTGGAGGCGTTGCCGGGCCGTTTTTGGCTGCAGGGTGGGCTGGAGGGGTCTTCGCTGCAGTCGGCCCAGAAAGTTCCGACTTTACCAACTTCGGTGCAGGAGCCGAAGGAGGCTTAGCTTTCTTGTGTGGCCTATCCGAACAATCCTTCGCAGCCAAAGCTTCCTCGTCCGAGCTCAAGCACTCAACCATGTCAAGGGAGCTCTGGCTTGCAAAGGAGGCGTGCGTGTTAAAGCGCCTGAGGTTGTGGCATGGCAAGTGTGGCCCCATCTACAGAACTCACACAGGATCTTCCGTAGAAAGCAGATATGTGCAAGCAGGACTCGGAAGGGCAAGCGGGTCTTCAGGGCACTCCGTTGAGGCACTGGAGGAAAAGCTGGTGTTGAGCTCCTGCGTGTAGGTCTTGCGTGGGGAAAAAATCATAAACCTCAAACCTTAAACCCTAAACCCAACCCAGGGGTAGGGATTGGATAGTGCGAGGTATAGGAGTTGGGCCCTGGCTGTAGGAAAAGTCTTTCTAGAGTTCACGTCTGGAAGGTTGATTCAAAGCTTTTCGATTGTAATCAGTTATGTCATGGCAAGTTCAAGCAAGGCCCGGGTTCCATGCATGCATGGGTTTACGGAGGTAGTGGTCCAATGTCCAGGGCCTAGATCCACTTGAACTACGGCTTGCTCTCCATCTTCCATGCAATCTGACTCAATTCGCTTAACCGGCGAAAATTTCCGAGCAGATCAGATCCTGAACTCACCGTGCGAGAGTTCAGGGTAATCAATTGGGTGTATAAGTATAGGCCAAATCTCACCATTAGGGGTCAAGGTCAACAAGATAAAAGGCACGGTGAGCACACCTCTGTAATATACAGCGTAGAAACCAAAAGTCTGAAAATCAACAAGCGCCAAGCTTGAATCCTATGCGCCAAGACAAATGCTGCGCGCTGAGGGTGTATTGGGGTTTACAATATAAGGCACATGCCATAAGGCGAAGCTAGGCCCAAGTCGACCCCCATGATAGGAATTGTAGAGGTATAGGCCGCAGGGTCTGACGCAGTTTGCTTCACACACAAGGTTCTAGGGTTTTTATAAGGGTGTATAGGGCTAGGCGCAGTGAGGAAACTATACGAAAGCCATGTGCTTGTCGCAAGCCGAAGCGTCATCTCACTTGTCCTTCATTCATGAAGAACATAGAATGCGGCAGCAACGCATGCGTAGTTGGAATTTTCATGTGCTCATGAACTCCCATCGCGACGAGTAGAAGTTGTCCACGGGATCAAGTCCTTCATCTTCCATTTCAACCAGAAACATCCTCCAGCTAGAACCATCGGATATTCAACGTGATTAGAAATGACTGAAACACGCGTGCAGGTGTGCAATGGGCTGCTTCACATGGTGCGAGCTGCTCCACTTTCTCTATAATGATGCTGTGGGAGCTTTAGCTCGCTGCTAATTCCACCACCAACCCATGCTAGGGGTTCTTCAAGGTTAG